GGGAGGGGCAACAGCACTTGCTTCTCACTGCTGATGCTTAAAAAACATGCCCATGGATGCCGAATATGTACACATGCAATAGGAACAAGTGAAAATAGCACACCGTGAGACAGAACAATACTAGTTAAAGGCTCGTCCACACCGTCAAGATCATTAGGACATGAACACATAGCATACCTCACAGCAGCCAACGAAAGTCACTGCTCATTCGCACATTGCCAGAGCATTAACACACACGATTGACTAGATACAGGTCCACTCAACACACGTAATTGCACAAAACGCACCTCTTTCCTGGACGAGGTAAAAACAGCAACACGTAACTATTCCTGGCACAATACCCAGATCTAACGCGAAATCACAGATTTTCGATTCCGCAAGCTCCGCGAAAACCGTTTAACCACCGCTTTCAGTTGTCGCCACTATCGAGACATATGCGCCGTTTTCCCTTCAAATACAAGACACCATATCCCTTTCAGCTTGTAGCAGCCATATAAAGGTTTTATGCCCAAGCCGTGGGATGCATTCGCAGCGCATCAGAATGTAGCATCGGAGCGGAATGTAGTGCAGCGCACCAATAACATTTTATTCTTCGTGAAGTCACGTAGAATCTTGGCCGGAAGTACTCGCAGCGCAACATGCCTCTCTTTACATCTTCATGACTGTCTTGACAATAACTACGCATGCAAAGACGATATTTTTTTCCGCGCACGCTGTACCATGGGCACCCCTAACAATGGAAACTGCAAATTATGCTGCTTGTAATGTATAACACACCTTGGTATCACTTGCGGCCGATTTTGGATGGGGGTGGCGGCACCTGTGGAGGGCAGAACGTGCCCTCTATCGTTGGATAAGGAGGGGGGGGGGGGCGTAACTCCCCCTATCCTGACAAGACTTTTTGCAGAAAAACATAATTCTTCACTCCGATTTTTACTAATGGGTCATATTCCCAAATTTTGCCATAATGAACGCACCTCACATCGGAAGGATTATATTGTTACAAAGCTCGTGCGATGATTCAAGGCCTCTAAAACATCACTCTGCAATATTCTCCCCAAAATGGCCTAGCACATTTATTGTCTTCCGTGCCTGGATTTCAAATCCGGATAGGTGATGAACGAATCATAGCGTGCCTGCAGCCTACGAATATAAGACGCTTTTTAAGGATAAAAGTGAAAAATCATTTTGAATTGTAGTGCATGTGCTATAACGCAATACCTCTAATTCCCCTGGTACGACTGCCATTTTTTGTACGCTCTCCGTCAGTGATCATTACTTGCTATCACCACTTCCACCGTCATATTTTTCAAGAAGCTCTGCAACGCAAACAGATAAGCCAGATCTGATAAGCAAACAGATCGGCACATGATCTGTTTGTGCCCGCAGACCGTTTATAGATGGCACTGTAGTAACATCCAGCAATGCTGCGTTGCAGCGGAGGTGCTCACGGTTGGTAACATAGAATTTAACTTTTGCATCGCTCTAAATAACGTTTGCTATCCATTTTGATGTACCTGACGATAAACGATGGGCTTTGCTCCAGTTCATCCGGTTTTCGTGCATTTCAGATCTGGTATCAAATAAGATCCCTGTCTAATGATACTAGTGTTGGAAGGGTAAGTATTTCCTTGTCATGTCAAATCGGTCATGTGTGTGCTGGCTTAAAAGCATCATATAGCAGTTTAAAAGCACAACCCTCGAATCTGGACGATAAATAGACTGCAATACCACGTAGTTCTTTTAAGGTGTAGGCGAGATCGTAAAGTTAAAGCCGAGTGTGGGTCCATATAGTAGCAGATATAGTAGCATGTAGTAGCAGATATAGTAGCATATAGTCGCAGAGTGTGGGTCTATAGCTCTAAATCTCGCTGGACCAACGTCGCCAGCGGTACCCCTCAAACATTGGTGCTGAGACTAATCCTGTTTATTATTTTCGTCGATTACCAGATGTGCGAGGCGCGGTCAAGATGTTTACGAATGGTACGAAGGTGTTCTGTGATGCTCTGAGGACCCTGACTGCTTCTCCTCTCCATATTGACCTCGATGACCTGATCACATGGTCACAGTACGATTCCTCTCACTCAGCGCATTCATGCGTAAAATAGCGCACACCAGCATTTGCAATCCGCGACCGACCTACTTGCTGCACAGCGCCGAAATCGCAGGCGTGTCCGCTGAAAAGTACCCTGGAATTTTCGTGGAGACCCATGCAGGGTTCAGACCTTGCATGAGACCGTGCAGAAGGCGTAGGTGGTTCTTAAGTACACCCAGATGCTGGCAGTCGTGACACTGACATTTCTCAACATTGGAGTCTTCACGCTGCTATTGTTGTGAGGACCACGATACTCCCGTTTTGGGGTAACTATTCGAGGGTGTGACGTCATCACCTGGGGTCCGTTCGGCAGGCTGGATCAGGAGAGGCTACAACGGGTCCAACGGGGAGGTGCACGTCTTGTTCGAGAGGAAGGGCTCCTCAACTGCCTTCGCTGCACTACCGACGTCACAAGGGAGATACGGTTGCGGTGTTCCAGATGCTTCACGGAGACATGCGCGCCGGAGTTCCTGACGTGACACGGCTCTGAAGTGAAACGACGGCACCAAAGTAAACTGTGCAGCGTTCAAAACGGGACCCTCGTCCGTCGGGACTCATTCAGCTTCTGGGTCGTAAATGATTGGAACGCCCTTCCACCGACAATTTCATCGCCATCCGAAACTGAAAAGTTTAAAACTAGGCTCGACCCATGCTGGACTGGCACCATGTGCGACAGTCCGCAGTGACCACATCGTCAAAATGAAGCTGTTTGGCTGACTGAACAGGATCTCGAAAAGACCGGGATCCGCATGCCGAGTGCTCTTTTAATTCCTAATCATCAACATTAGGTAATGTAGTTAAGTTGATAAGTTGTAGCTCAGAACTTGTTGGGAACTGACCATGTAACCCATTTTTCTATCTGCAGTTCAAATATGATTTCTGGACTCACCTGGTCCTGCTGCACGTTGCCGACCAGTGTCCCAAGAATATGCAGTCAGCCTGTCTAGATGCTCGTACGGTTCAACACACTGTGATTTGGTTTACCAGCTCACACAATAGAAAAGCCGCGCACAACGACATCCACAGCACTCACACCACCGCTCGTGCGAAAGCAACTGTGGTGCGACCGCTGGTAAATTCTACGCCAGAACGTGAATTCTGCTGGATAACTGGCTCGAGCCCAACCAGATCTCACTCACATTCTGCAACGTCATTCAAGAAAAAATGCACTACATGCTCCGCTGGGCATGATCTGGGCTCTACCTGGTCAATACCACAGCTTAATCCATTTCATACAAGAATATCGGTCCTGGCAGGGCCGTGGCCCGCCAGGACCGGGCTGCGCTGCTGTAAAATCTGCCCAGGCGAGGCCCGACAAATTGCTGGTGTGTGTGTGGGGGGGGGGGGAGGGGTGCATCCATGGTCTTGGTAAGGTGGGGAGGGACACAGGTTTGACAAACGACCTCTCCTGGTGGAAGGTCCGTTCCCCCCAAAATATTACCAGGCATGGTTCACCTGATTTTGAGGGGCACGATTTTATTCTTTTTATTTTACTATGTACCGTCTTTTAGATAAGTGTTTAAATAAGTAATACAAATTAGAGAAGAGTTTAAATAAGTAATAGCCTCATCCCTCGGAGAAAAAAACAACGGAAGAATGGAAATATAGATGCGTTGATACTTCGGCAACATGCCTTTATCGAAACAATAGCAGAAGTCTTCTGCTATTGTTTCGATCAAGGCACGTCGCTGAAATACCACCGCATCTATATCTCCATTATCCTGTTTTTCTCCAGAAGAATGAGGCTATTACTACTGTCTTATCTATGTGAATAACGTTCCTAGCAAATGCACTTAACAACTTCTGTACCGCCTTTTACTGAAACAAGCTAAAAGACGGAGAAAGATGCATTTCTGTATTCTGACGGAAGACAGATTTTACAGAAAGACATTTAAGAAAACATTTACAAAATGCATGTAAGCAAATGAGGAATTAGTTAACACAAGCCGAATTGCGATTTAGTTAAGCTGAGTGTTTCGCATTTATATGGGGGGGGGGGGGGGTTGAACTGAAATTACCACGTTGAAGATCATTTGGTGCAGTTCATAGCCTTGCCCTTCCGAAGACCTAAGCTCATCTAGTTGCTGTGCTACACACCCGCGAAGACGTGCAGACTATTTCGAGAAGATTATTTCAAGGTTCCCTAGGTATCAATGAAGCCATAATAACGGCATCCAAATCCGGTCATTCTATCATCCACACGGCGATCAAGGCCAATGCAAACATAACTGTCAAGTCATTCACATCTGGCGTTCATAAGCATGATTTCCAGATGTGACGGCAATCTCAACGTTTTTACTTAACAGAGAAAATGTGTTGTCTAGAGCAGTCTTTTCTACTAAAAAGTATACCAATAGCTACAAGTGAGCTTACTTCATCATATCTGAGGCTTGCTTCAACATTTTCCAATGTTCAACACTTACTTTAACACAAGGCGGATCAAGATTCAGTCAAAACAATGATCACATTGCCCAGAACAAAATAGTACGGCAAACAAAGGGAGTGTAATGACTACCACGACTAGCTAGAAATACCACGACCGAGGTGGGGAAGAAGCGGGGACCAGATACAGAGCAAGGGGCCGACGCGGTATACACCCGGCCTGGCGGCGCGGCAGGTCCGCCGCGCTCCTCACATGGCGCCTGGTGAGGGGGTTCTCGCTCACGCACTTTCGTGGTTCTTTTAGTTCGGTACAGTGTCACCAAGGGACGTCAGGATCGAACGAGCCCACCCTTTCAAAAAAACCTGTACTGCACCGTCTTATACGTGACGGAGACCAGAGACACTACTCTAGCGCGACCCTTGCTCCAAAAATGCTCGGGCTACACTGTTTTACCCAGCGTTGATGTGTGTTACGTCTCTCCAAATGCGCACGGTGTGCTCATCGTGACGCTCTGACCACCAGATGCGGTCGTCGGAGCGCCTCCAGAGGCTGATGGTGCTTCTTCTGTCGGTGCTTTTGAAGGCCGGCTCCAGGAGCGTCACGCAGCAGGATGTAGACCTCCAGCTCCAGCTTCTAGAGGACTCCTACCGCCAGGAGATTGACAAACTCAGGGCCGCATCTGGCTCAGCCGAGTTCAGAAATATTCTAGGTACGCTCCAGAGGGGTACTCGTACGGGCACGCGGCGCTCCTGGTGTTATGCAATGCATGCGTGAAGATGTTCAACGTCATGCGAGTAGAGCTTAGATAAGAGACGTTTGAGCTCCCCTGACCAGCAATATCGACTGTCGTTACAGGTCCTGATCTGGACAACCCGTTTGATCTGGACGGCGAGCTCGATGACGCCGATCCTGAGGTGTCTCCGGGCCTATTTGAAGGCGACATCGCTTATATACCCAATGAGGTGGGACGCAGTTAGATCGCTTACGATTATTAGACTTTTCACTGAAACGAAGGAACAACGAGCTTGATGTTCAACCAGTGTTCTAATTGGTCACGCGTCAGTAACAAAACAACGCCTGAATCGCCATCTCGTTTGGAGCACCCAGACCAGGCAGGCCGGTCATTGCGGCTAGACCGTTTGCAGGCGTCATGTTGTGGAGAGGTGCTGCAGCCTGACCCGCGATCACCGTCGACAGGGTACAAATAATAGGGTCGTTTCTCAATGAGCAGCACATTTAGAGTTACGCATTATCAAGCTTAATCACCAGATCTTCTTTATATCTTCGATTGCCTTTTCGCATAGTTAAATAGATACATGTCGTGCATTTATACTTTGGATAGTGCAGTGGCAAAGGAATTTGTAACGCCGAATGTTCAACAAAACTTGTAAGAAGGCAGCACGCTGTCAATGAGAATCACCGAAAAATTGCGGCTGGCATTGGAAGGGGATGTTTGAGGCACGGCGCGCTTAGCCATAACAGCATGTGAGATGATCAACAACACCTAATATGTTTTCGCCTTAAATCACAAAGCGTGGCAGGACGTTTTGCAGACAGCGATATGTCAACGTATGGATCGCCGAGAGCAACGCGTGTACGGTGTCTGCGTGGCTGTGAACAAGCGGTTGGACATTTTACTTATATTTCCAGATAGCGCAGTTCCGTGTCGCTCTCAACACGGATATATTTCCCACACGCAAGTGGGATACCAACGTGGTGCCATATATCATCAGCCCCAAATACGGTGAGATTGGCGTTGTGATCAATGTTCCCGGTATTTGCCGTTGCTCTTTCGCTCACCTCCTGGAATGTGTGCAATGTCTATTTTACAGGGCATCGTCGAAGAAAGACAATACACGGTTACTTATACGGGTTCCGCTGTACAAGACGCAATGTTTTATACACGTCAAAAATTGACAGCGAAAATATAACCATGACAACACATAGCCTGCCTTAGCGGAAACCCTGACAAAACAGTGTTTAATTGCTTAGTGTGAATCGTGCATATCGCAAGAATTTATGTGATTTTTAAATTTTTCAGCGGCTCTGATCTATGTTTCTCAAACCTCATACCATTAAAAGAAACAATGTCATCATAGTGCATCAAAGATTTAGCCCTTGTGACCCCGTGTCCAAAACCTTTTCGTCTCACTGCATATGTTCGTGAAGATGGCTTGCTCCCCTGACAGTGGAGATTGGTTTCACCAAACGCCATGAGATGTGCTGTGTTTTTTTTTCAGAAATGAAGCAGAGGATGTTTATAGAGGACGCCCTAGACATACTTAATTTTATGACTTGCATCAAGTTTGTCCCCTGGGACGGCAAGGTTAAAGATTACCTGGTTATATGGCCCGTCAAGAAGCCTGCTGGGTAAGTCAGCCGTACCAACCCTCAGCGTGTTGGCCGGCACTGAAGGCACGCTGGGAGCTCTCAGCGCTCGAGTCCGCTTGAAGACACATCTGTTATTGGCACAGGCTGGCCGTTCCTTCAGTCACATTTTCGCGCTCCCTTGCTGGTAAGTGGCTCAACAGGCAGCGTGAATTGCTCATGCGTCTGCAGTCTGCGCCCCAATGAAACATGCTGCCATAACTCGGCGACCTTCACCCCGTTCCCATCGGTGATGATCGTATCGTCGCAGCAATACCTTCAAATAACACTAAAAAATAACGGCACTCCGAATTGCTGAACTGACAAGCTTTTCATAAGCTCCGACAGCTACCTAAGCCGTCAGCACACCACAGACGCGAGCCATCACCAACTTACTCTGCTTAATACTGCTTAATATCATTTGTACCATATACCAGGAGATACTGGTTTAAACGATTTCATAGGGCAAAGCTTGACTTTATTTCCACTATTCAGTGCTTCAAGCTGTGCTGACGATCAAGATATACGCAAGACAACAACAATTACGAGATTGACGGATCGTAACGGAACACGAGATCACAAATGAAGAAATTTGGGCAAAGTTATGCAAAGAGATGCACATGAAACAAAGGCAGGTGATTTCCGAAAATCCTCCGAATCTATGCAGACGTTGCCACTAGAAAGATACCAAAACAGCGAAGCATCCAAACTCTCACATCTTAGAAGCCGATACAGGGTTCTACGTTGAGGTCTGCATGAGACACAGGCAGCTAAGCCGATAGTTTACAATGACCTATACCGATATAAGATTGGAAAATTACGTACTATGAACATCAGACACCACGAAAATTACACGAATCTCACGAACATCACTGGTATTCAGGCTTTCGCAACCCACGCTCCCAATACAAGGTACTGTAAAGAGCTGCCCGAAACACAAACGGCTTAGACAAAACGTTTTAACTCGCGCACCGAGCATCACGAGAAAAATAACTTTGCCAGCTGGCATCAGTGCTCATCACAACAAGCGTAGAACCGTCTTTAAACGTGCTTAACCTTGTTATCGCTGCCCAAACCAGGTCCATGGCGCGCTTGTCTGCTCAGCATCGGACGAAGGCTACGTATCGGCAGCATTAGAAGATCTTGATGCCCGTTGTTTGTAGCTGTTTTTAAGCTTTGCATTTGGAAGTTAGTATTTGTTTCATTATGCTCCATCGCTGTGTAGTGGTCTACCAAGGGCTTTCCTAGTGGTGTTTACTCTCTCTGTAAACGCGTATCTCCAATACGCTCATTAAATCGGCCACGAATGCTGCGCTTTGTTACTCCTACATGAAAAATTCATAGGAGAGATTACAGGTGGTCAAACCTGATTCAGGTGTTCAAGTCCCTGCTCAAAGGACGCAAAAATATCCTGTATATTGCGTCCTCCCTCGTGCATCTTGAATAATCGGCTATGAACAATATAGCCAATGTTTACTTCTTGACGTCGCTTAAGCATTACTAACGGGTATAATGAAGGCCGACAGCTCAGCGTAAAAGCTCTGACCTCATATCATGTGTCTCGTTGTGTCCTCAAGACTGTGAGATCCGCCGGCGGCACCTGACGCCAGCTCGTGCACACTCGCCAGGTGCTGGTCGTTCATCGGGAAGCTGGGTGGCGCCCAGATTGTCTCTCTGCAGCCGCCGGACAGCAAGTCCAAGCGCTGCTTCATCTCCATCGGCAAGCCCATCCATGAGATCATCCACGCGCTCGGCTTCTTCCACGAGCAGTCGCGCTTCGACCGCGACCAGCACGTGTTCGTCATCAAGAAGCACGTCATCCCACGTGAGCGCGCCAGCGTGAAAGCCGAGGGGGCAGCGGGCGCGTCGCGTCTGCCCGCCTCAGCAGCTAGAGCGCGGGCATTGCTCCATCCCCAACGACGGCCGTCACTGGGTCGCTCGCTGCCGGAGTCAGGTTTGGAGCATTGTGCTCGCCTTACGGCGGGAGGCCCGAGCTGGCGGCCCGCCGCGCCGCGGGCGCGGCGACGCCACGCCGCCAACGTCAGCAGTCGGCGCTCCACTGATGACGGCAGCCGAATGGGCCCGCACCCCACCACCCGTCATGCGCTCTGTCTGTTGACACTCGGCGTCTCTATTGTTGGCGGCCACAATGTCGGCACAGTGTTGCATCTTGGCCGACATTGATCTGCGGTGCGCCGGCCCCCGCTCCAGTGCGCGCCCCCGCGTGGTGCCACGGCCCCTCTGCTCCCACTACCTGCATCCGTACTGCTTTCAGGGGTAAGCAGATCTCGCCTATCATCATCCACAGGGTCCGATGTCTTATCCGCCCACTATCAATTCTGCAGAATGCTCGGCCGCAGGGGGTCCTCTTCGATGGAATGGCTCTTCAAACCTACAGCGTATAAAGGAGCAACATATGCTCTACGTGACATATGCTGGAGAGCGTAACCGTATCAGTCAAATTTTCTTCAACCAAACCTTTCTAGCCCCTATCCGGAGCAGTGGAGAACCACGTTTCACTTAGACTCGTCGTCGTTGTCATTTGGGCTTGACGAGACATTCAACTGCTTAGGCTGTATAGCGTCGCCTGCCCCTCTCACCCTGACAGGAGGGGCGGGCACCACGGGGAATCGAGCCCCGTATCTTTGCTCTCCCCGACGTGCAGTGATTTACGCAAACGCTTTACACAATGCACTTTGGGAATCCCTCCGCTTAGATCTGTAATGCGGAAAAGTGAAATGTCAAGAGCATTATGATAGCCGTTGTTCACGCGCAAATAAAATTTGTCACTCAATGTGAATGACAAAACAATTCAGGCATTCAAGACTCATATCCATACTTGGAGACACATTTATAGTGAGCTCACAGCATGCACAACTGACAGCGGGCTTGCTTCCCTGAGCAACGGAACCGACTCCCTGACCAAGTATATGAGGACTTGTTTAGTTCTACGGACGATTGTGTCTGCAATGTTTCGGGATGCATTCAACATCATTCATTAGGGGAGGGATGGAGCCCAGACCTCGTCATAATTTCCTCACCAATTTGACCTCCGGCTGGCGTGCTACCTGACGCGACAACCTGAGACGCATGTGGAAGATAGGGGCGGATTTCATCTCTAAGCAGGCGGGTCGCTTTGTGTTCTTTCGGGGGTCTGGGCACCACCCCTCCTCCAATATTGAGTTCTTCAACGTTCTTCTGAGCCCCCTCCCAATGCGTACGAGGAAAACAGGAGTACTGAGTCAATGAAATGCAGGAAGTGCTCGAATTGCTGGTGCACTAAGCATCTAAATACATAACTACCATGTCATCATCATCACGTGCCATTATTATCTTAATAAGATCGGTTTGAGATGGAATATCCTCAACATCAAAACAATTTTGGCACCGACGGGATAGGTATCTAATGATACTTTTAACATCGGGAACGCAAATCAAATCAAGTGACCAAAATCCGGGATGAAACCAGGATTTAGAAATACGTTAAGTCAACTATACTGGCTCAGCTTTTAGAAAGTGGCCCCCTGTCTGTAAGCCAGCTTTGCGTGCAGCAACATGGGGTCAGTCGTCTGCAGCCTCGGCGGACATTGGTCGGCAACCAGTTGCCCCTTCCGCCGCCGTCTTTATATACACCTGCGTGCAACGTTGTCGTTGAAAATATGTGAATACCTCCATTTCATGTGTTTCAAGAAACAGTCGCAAATACATAGGGATAGCATTAACTCGAACCTGAGATAGGAGCTTCCATAACGTGTACCGGTCTTCCACGATATCGCCGGGCGTCGAAGCTGATAAAGCATGCCAAAGCAACGTAAAAAATGGCCAAGAAACGCCATTTGGGGTTTTCTCATGGAACGCGCCCCCGGTCTGTTTACTGAGCCAGGATCCGTGATTCTCCGGGTTTAAATCTTTCGGTGCCTGGAATGCTGTTATGTATTCATAAGCCTCAAAGAAACCATCCTCGTCGCCACTGTGTATGCCATATCTCTCTAATTATCTCTCTAATTTCATTGCTGTCTGTAGTCAACGCTGCTGCCAGGGGTGTCACCGCGGGCTTCTGAGAGGTAAACGAGGTCTAGGCTGAAGCTGTCCCTCTCCCCCCCCCCCCCCCCCCGGTTCCCGCGCCACTGGCCCCGACCCATCATGGAATAGTGCATCTGTGTGCTGGTGCAGTTCGTATTTTACAGAAACAGCCGATGAACATCCGAGCGGTATCTGGAAAGCGTCTTTGTGGCACTCCGCGCGGTGTGTTATGAAAGCCGTGGCTCTGCCAAATACTTCGATTAACTTCGTCAGCGTCGTAACGCGCAACTACGGTATGAAAACTTCGCCACCCACTTTTGCGAAGCCAGTTTTCCTAGTGCAAAAACTACTCAAGAGTCTCCATAAGGCTGAGAGGACGTTTCCTCCCGCAGACGATTTGAGAGACGCCACCCACTTCCGTCATTCTCCTTCCCTGTGGTGAAGCCCGGCCCAGCAGCAGCTTTGCGTGATATGATACATCTCGCATTCATCAACAGGTTTCTTGAACAACTTCGCAAAGCACGCTGCTGAGAACACGACGATCGGGTACACGTACGACTTCACCAGCGTGATGCACTACGGCACACATTTCTTCAGGTTAGTTTCAACTTCAAGCCTGCGGATTTCGAAAGCGTCTCTATGATGATTGGAAAAGCCTTGCAGCGCACCCGGAAGGCTCATGATGAGCTTATCCGGCGGCCTGGTTTCCTAGTGCCGCCCTACGCTTGAAGTGAGTCACCATGTTAAATGTAGCAGTGGTTCGCTATGTATCACCCAAAGCAAACGTATAGCAAATTAACCCTACCATAAAGCCTGCTCTTTCCAGTGCCATAACTTTGCTAAGCGTTTGCACCCCTACGCGTTCGTTCGTCATGAGTAGAAGTAAACTACTGCCTTGTTTATCATAATGGCTTCTTGTGGGCACCAGTAGTCGCACATGTAATGCAAGGATTATAATAATCTGACATACGGGGAAACCCGCTGGAGCAAAATCGACGGCAACAATTTTTTGCTTTCAGTTTTCGTAAAGATGTGATGCCACGCCTCACATTGCGCCTCATTTATGTACTTGCATCATCGTAAGAACCAGTGATATAAAGCAAAGGTGCACAATACATGTCGCAGACGGCGTCGCGAACAACACCCTGACCATGCCGATTCCGTCGCAGCATTGACCGTAAGGTGCCGACCATGGTGCCCCGAGTCAACAACACGGTGATCGGACAGCGCAACGGCATGTCCGTCAAGGACTGTCTCAAGGTCAACTCCTACTATGGCTGCATGGATGCGTCCGCGTACGACCGCATGAAGTACTCCAGCATCTGCCGCTTGATGGGCATCAGGAACGACGACACCACCTTCAACAGCCTGTAGCCGGACGTCTCTTGAGCTGTTTGGCCGGTGCCGCGGGTGTCAACACACGGGCCAAGTGCAGTGACAACACGCGGGCCAAGCCCCTGCTGCGTCTGCCCCAGGCGCCACGCTGGTCGCCGGCCTCCGCGCCCGCGCCGGTAGCCGTGCTTACTCCACACACAGCGCGTCAGATGCAGAACGGAACCGAGCTGCGGCGTCGGTGATATGCGATGCAAGCGGTTCCTGATTCTTGATGCAGCGGTTCCTGATTCCTGATGCATGTGGCTCCTGATGCCAAACTTGTTGCCGTGGCAAAAGTGTGAAAAATTCGCGATACCATTCCGTAGACGTTTGCTGGCCCGACAGAGCTTGAAAGAAGAGTGTTTAAGTGCATGCGTGAACTGTGTTTCGCATGGGAATGAGATCGGACACGGTTATGTTTACGTATCAAAATGTGGTCATCATAACATTCGTATGACATTTCGCAGTAAGCATGGTGCACGTGCAGTTCATAAACTGTATAATAGAATACAATGTAAATAGCACCGCCACATTTGATCAACTTACTTTTACCATCAAGATCCACGCACGGAGTATCTCATCTGTCAGCAAAACCGTCCCAACAACCTAAGCATCTGAACACGAGGCATCAGTATATTTTTTATCGGCTACCGACAGAGCTGTTTTCGAATCGGCATCACACAAGGTAACTTCAGCTTTGACTCATATGGTAGTACGCACATTTCAACATGCTCTCAAGGGCACAGGTATGCATGAGTTTTTGCTGAATGCGATTCCAGTAATGGATTGTTAGCCTAAAACGCAAAACTGTATTCAGTGACGTCGGCGTTGGCGCGGCTACCGGAAGATATTGTCCCATATACGCTCATGCCGATTGGATTTCAACCATTACTAATGACAGCGCAGGAACAACTAAATGAGCTTCACACTTTGTATTTTCGTCCCATAAATGTAGCCGGAACACGTCTTTGTTATGCTTTTGGCGAGCGTCAAAATCATATTGGAGAAGTTGGCAAACTGGGCCTTCAAAGAGGAGTTGACCGGGAACCTCTGTGGTGCACTACCAGTGGCACGCCCACAGGCACAGACAGGGGTACCAAGGGCGCCCCCCCCCGCCGCTTAGGTCGATTTGAGGCCTAATTTGAGGGCCAGTGCCCAAGGGGCTCGCTGCAGGTCACATTAAGGGGGCTCAGACCACAGGACAGGTCACTCAAATGGATGGATAGACATTTAGATAGACTGTATTGAGGATCCTCTATAATGTGGCTCTTCCCGCACAACCGTCACATACATTGCACGGGAAAGAACACATAAACATTACACGCGTTTATCAAAACGAGACAGATATATTCATCTCGAACCCAGATAAGCGACCGGGCTGTTCTTAAAGGCCAAGACGATTACAGTGAATGACAGGCGAAAATCTGACAGTTCTGAGGCCTGAGGCAAATGCTAGTCAGAGGGCTCCTTGTGCTGATTGACGAACCCCGAGTTGATACGGGTCTTTATGCCGGCCAGGACCCACAGTGTACGCAGTCGGCTCTGTGTCGGTAAGAACCTGACGGCTCATTTCCCAAGCAGGGACAAAGCCATGGCCAGCAATTTGCATCGGCCGGTGTCCCTGCGTCTGTCAGGGACCCACGATGCCCAACAGAGGTCCGGTATTGGGGACGCAGATTGTATGCAACTGTTTGTCCCGGTGTCAGGGACCAACGGGGCCCACGGCTCACAGCCTATGAAGACTGCAACGTCGGGCATCAGGGGTTTTGTTTCTGGGACCTGCGAGCGCGCAGGCTCAAACTACGTGAAAGCTACTTTCTCTATGCGATTGTAAATAAAGATTACGCATTTTCAGACCAACATGGCATGTCAAAGCAACTTTTTGATCTTTGTTGATCTGTAATCTACGCTCATGGAATCCACAAAATCTCTGTAGAATCCATGCGATTCTGGCGAAGCCCCTGGGTTCTTTCGGTTTTGAGGCAGTTAGTTGAACCATTGTAAAATGAAAAACGCCGGCGTTTTATTTCCTGCAGTCATTCAGTACCCGGGTACTTCAGTTTACTGACTTAAATATACAAAAACAATTTCATCTTGCGTTAATTTCCGCCTTGTGTTCCCCGTCCAGACAGTCAACATAAATATACAACGAAGAAAATCATGCTCACTCGAAACCACGTGAGTCATATAGGTGACTTTGTTTTTTGAGACTTCTTTCACCACCAGAGGGCCTCTGTCAACCCTGTGCGCCCCTCCCTCCCCTCACCTGCCTTACCAAGGCTCTAGCTGCGCCCCTGTGAACTACATTCTCGAACCTCGCAGTGTCACAATGGCTCATGTGGGTATTACAAAAACGTATTTTTTAGTAGGTATTGTTGTCTTCACAAAAAAACTTCTCTATGCTTGCTCTGACATTTGCCCCTCTCCACCGGCTCAGCCTGTCTGATTGAGGCCATCCGATCTCTGCCAGCGAACGAAACCGACAACTTGTTGCAATAATGGAACTCTGGTACCAGATACTTACATGACATTTAACATAGGCACGCAGCACCGGTATCGCAACAGCGTAAACTAAGATATGTCGCCACCTAGTGTTGGTTTGGTGTCATGCGTGGTCCACGACGTGTACAGGGTCGTCCCGTGTCAGGTGAGGAGCGCCACAGGCGGAGTGCAGGCTCGCACGGTGTTGTGCCGGCTCAGCAGGCGGGAGGAAGACGCCTCGATAAACAGGCCTACCGGGCCCGCGGCAGCTCCAGTGACGGACCCTGGTCACCCGCCGGCCGACCCGCTGCCCACAGTCGCAGGGTAGCGCTGCTGGTCACCACCCCGCCCAGACGTGCCGCCGCCCTGCACCGCCAGTGACGCAGGTGAGACACAGGCGTGACTTCGGGCGTCCTAACAGTGCACGAACACAGCGGCGACCGGGCCTGGCTGTTACACGGGTCAGTTGGTACAGTGTCCATGTCACAAAAGGGTTAAATTCGGTGGTCACAAAAGTGCGGTTGCGCTCTGCGCCATAATTGGATGAATGCATAATGTTGTATTGAATATAATGTAGCATATGGTTTATCTCCAGCGGTTAAAATAATGAGCAATGGCTTGGGCAGCCTGAATCTAAATAAAAAATGTCCTCCAAACATTTGTGTTTGAGCTTAAAACGAGAGGGCCCAGCTAACAAGTTGCACAATTAAAAGGCCATGCGCGGAAGGATTGCTTCGAAGTGACAGCAATGTTCCAAACGTCACGTAAGCATGAAAGAGTAAAAGAAGCCTACCATGAAGCTATGCAAGTTAGGATTATGTATTGGCATTACAACGAGCTCCATTTATCTTGAGTCAAGTATGAAAGTTAGATCAATGTAAAAACAAACCGCTTTTACCAGAAAATGTGTGATATCTCTCGCCCTCATTCGCCATTTTTCATGCGCGGAGTGACGGAGCACAGCGGTCGCCTGCCACCGTTTTATAGCTAAAACCGATAAAGTTTCCCAAAAAAGAGCATTAGTCTCAACGATTGCTCATGGCTTGGCTCGTGATTATTCATAGGTTTTGTGTTACTGGGTTAATGGTTGATCACCCCACTAGGGCAGGTTGAAAAAAACCTTTTTTTTGAAAAGCAAACTATTTTAGCTTTACGTGATCGCATTTTCGAGACCATGCCACGCAGCAACATGCCATTTAAAGGATGTGTTCTATATTTGTCTGGGGTTTTGAACTGAAAGAGCCGTATTGAAGACCTTTTGATGCAAATGACGGCCATGCCCTTTTTAAGGCTTGAGGCCCTGTGGCTCCTGGGCTCAAGCCGCAAAGATGTGAGAGGGTAATTTGGGAGAGTATTTGAGGGTCACCTTGGGTCACCTTCATAATACCATATTAACGTCATTCAAATCGTGCCATTTCAAAGGTCATCATCTTGAGTCACCTTCATGGCGCCATATGAACGTCATTCAAATTGATATCTAGTAAGTCATGCGGTGATCAGGGCCCAGAAAAATATAATGGTCGAGCCATTCATATCTGGCGTTCACGAGCAAGATTTTCAGATACAACGGCCATCAGTTGGCTCTCGATGAATGTTGTAGAAAGTACGATGACGTAATCAAGCAATGACCCATCTAGGAACACATTTACTGAACAGAGCAATTAATATCGCGTAGAGCAGTCTTTTCTACTCAAAGTACACCAACAGTTATAAGTGAGTTTGTTTCATCATATCTGGTGCTTACTTTAATATCCTCGAATGTGAAACATTCCCTTTAATATAGCCGTATAGGTGCGTTTGATTATAAGTTGAATGCTAACATATCTGCTACTATCGAATTGTTTTGACCATATATTTATGGCGTTCGTTGACATGCACCCCGGTAGCTGGCTGAATGCGACGCGTTCGGGTAGGCATCATTCCCCCTCTGAGATCTCCAAGACACAACTGAGCTGGAAATCTCACATTTGCAGGTCTTTAGTCACATTTGCACTGATAGGTCTGCACGCGAACTCGCCAGTGACAAATTCTGAGGTCCACAGACTACCATATTTGGGTCAACTAAGGTAAAAAATGTCAAAGAAGTGTCCAAAGTGCCCTCAGACCTCCTCATGCAACCACGCTTAATGACGATACCCCTTCTAAGTAAGCGTTCAGTGGTATTCATTTAAGGTCAGTGGCCTGATTTGTCCTTCACAAGATCAAGAGGACAATCATCTTGGATATAACTTTCATATTTTAATTTGCGATCGGCTATTGGAATTAGTCGTAGTCCTAACTAAAATTATCAAGTTGTCTGCCAAAGTGGTCTGACTTCGTTTGATACTTCCTTGTCGTATCAGAATGAACGAATCCCATGTAATCGTCTTCCCCGACAGCCATGCTAACGAATGACCTTGGCTGACAGGCATGGACTTGGACCTTAAGCTGGCATAGTTCAGGGACCCTGAAAGGCATCTGTCGTTACCAAAAGCTCGGTTATTCAATTACCTATAGCTACAAAAAGTTGAACGCGGATACGCCGCGCCGTTCAGAAGTTATTTGGAAAAACCTTCGGTGACCAACTTGACCTCCAACCTAGCGCGCGTGTATTAGTGTCGGTGTGCCGTGCACGATGGTTGGATTCGTCCGTTGCCGCCTGCCGCACGCGCCGGACATGGATCGCCGTGCGGTGTTCTCCCCAAAAGTGTTCCTATCTAGAAAGCAGAAATGCTAGAGACGTGTTTTAAAGGTTAAAATACGTGCAATGAATACCCAGGGGTCTACCGAAAATGTGGGTACAATTGCACGACCCGCCAGAAATATCCCCAAAAACTAGGGGGGAGGGGGAGTCATTGCTGCTTTAGTGAGGAGTTTTTGGCGCTCACTTCAAACTTTTTTCCACAAGGACTTTTCAACAAGTTCCTCATTTTCACTTCCCGAAGAAGGTCAGGGATTAGCGACCGAATATGACCTTGATCAACCCGTTCATTTGAAGAACATGCCGCCAGCTCTTGACGCTAATTGCAAAGTCAAACACCGCAATAATCTCAAAAGGTTTTGGTCATTTTTCCCCTTTAAAGGTCAAATAACCTCACTGACCTGATTCAAAACGCTTAATCTTTTGCTTAGAAAAGGAATCTAGGGTAAGGCTGGCTGTGTGGCGTGGGCCTGAGGGCACTTCTTAAACTGACGTTGACTTTGTTCGACCTTATTTAGCACAAAGATTGCGGCTTAGGGACGTACATTTTTTACAGATGAGCTCGCATATAACTCTACATTTCTTGCGATTTCGGTGTACTTATTTCTCAGTTTTGGAGATCTCATGGAGGTAAACTGACCCACCTCGCCCGAGCGCATTGCATTCAGTTGGTCATCCGGGCGTGAGCTAAATCCATGCTCATATCTGTTCCGACACTTGGAACGATCGAATTAGGTGTGGCAATAGACGATGGGATCGTAAAAATGTAACTATTGCGCCACACACAGCACCAGCGTCTTCCAAGTCCACATATGGTTAAACAACAAAAATCATGACAGCCGCAGTGGCCAGATATGTCCTCAACTACGTGTCAGGCAAACCCAGACATAACAATTACCCAGCAGCCAACACAACACAATGCCTTGCGATCTTACATTCTTCTTATATTGTTTTTTATGTTCGGAAGCATGCCTGTGCTGCTTGTCTGGAATATTGTGTGCCATTTCTTTTCAGTCGTGCGAGATGCTCTGTCATTTGCTGCTGTCGCTTTGGGTGACGACAAGTCTGGTGTTGGCACGTCCACAAGACCTCTCAATTCTTCCTCCTGGTAAGACAGCGGGACAGTGCCCGACCTGAGATGGAGCTACTACTCTCTCCCTGGAATGTGGACATGCGCATCAAGCCGTGCTACGTGATATGTACTCTACTTTTCCAAGGGAATATCAGTCGTAAGCGTATGACATAGGATACCATCAGGGAGGGTGCAGGGGCAGCTCACCCCGACGATGGGAAATGTGATATTAGCCCCATAGCGTTTATATAAAGCGTTGTCGTTGCCTTGCCTTCAAATGTTAATTTAATGCCGTCATAGGTAACTGATCTGAGCTCATTATCGCTTACAGTCCTTGGTAACATGGTTCCTAGCTGCGCAAAGCGTTATTCGCTCTTAGACTTGGTAAGTTGCTTCTTGACCTTGGCATAACGTATCTACCCTGAAAGGTCACTGAAGGTCACTGTGCATAGTCAACCGCTACCTCACAGTTTTCATAATATGCGCTATACCAGCACAATTTTTCGTTTTTACTCCTCTTTCAACCTGCAGTGTCTCTTTATGACCTGCATGCAGCACCGTTTCACGAAAGGCTGCCACAAGGTTCTGACCTAGGTTGACCTTAAACACAACTGACCCGACAACTGGCTGGCCTAGGTCTGAATGATTTGTGATCTGTATGTACCTTCCGATCATTCTCCATAAAAGGTCGGCACATGTCGATGATCTAGATTCCTGAAACACCGCTGGCATAAAACTGGTCAATCTAGGTCAAACACAAGTGGTATGTAATTATGGATTGAGTACATAAGTGTGATTTACGGAACCATTCTGTTGCTAGCAGAGAAAAAACAAGGACGATTTTCGCGTTTGATTGGTTGCAAATTTGAAAGAGAAGCGATAATTATCCGAATATCACCTTAACTTGAAATTAATAACCAACAATGGCAAACACCTTCACAGCTCTGCATACATTCAGCTGTACTTCATTTGTCCCTTGATTTTTTTCATCCCAAGATAACAAAGAACTGATACCCACTCCGTTCTCCCGTCAGTTTTAGTTTGACCCATCAATACGCTTGTCAATTCCCCATAATTGGATTAAGAACATAGGTGACCAAGAAGCCATATGATATGGTAAAGCAATGTATTACGCAGATGGACAAATAATCATCATGTATGTAGAAGCGAAGACATGCAGTGAATTTATCTGACTCCTCAGGCAACAGACGCGCGCAGCAAACACATAGCTAGGTCCTGAGCAGGACACTTTGTATTTCAAACAAATGGCTTAAAATGCTAGCACGTAGAAGGTAGTATGGCACTGGACCATCTAGTCCATATGATATGTTACTAACATGCATCTGCTTTGTAGAGCACTTCCCGGACTGAATCGATCCGTGAGTGGCGCTGGTTCTGCGGGGCGGATAGCACTGGATCAGCAAATCAATGACACAGGAAATGTGGGAAGCTTTTACGTGTGTAAATTTGTTTCGTAAGGAAATTGGTCATGTTCCGCCACGAAATGCTTAGTCCATCAGCTACCACAACTCGCGGTAATTCCTCCATTGACCCGGCGTAGTGACTGCAGGGAACCCAAATTATGTTTGCTACTGACACTCACCTCCAGCGCGGTGCGTGGGCATTGTAGTGGTTTGTTTTGGTCTGAATGACCGTAGCCCCTGAAATATCACAAGAATGATATGCCGTTACATTGCCACCCTTCACCCTTCCATCTGTGTACAGCTTCCGGTCGTGATGGCCAAAAGCTCGCGTTACGGGTCCACTCACTGATTTGTCCACGACTGGTCAGCCGATTATGAGCAGTCGCATACATATACTGATTTTCTTTGCATCACCACGCATTAAAACGCTGACATTAATCAACAATAACGTAAGCCCGGATGTTGACCCAGCAGCACGGCAGCAAACCATTTCTGGAGACATGAAAAACTGCATATGATAAATTCTGGGTGTCCTAAAAGACGCACACAGCTCTTAACTTTGGAAAAATACTACGAAAAAAGATTTTAGCATCCTGAGCGTAAATTGGACGCGGGAACTAAGAAATTTTCCAATGGTTGTAATCGGTTTGCGTTTTAGCTTTTATGGTCTTTTTTGCTGTTGAGAATAAGGCTAAAGTAACGGCAGGTAATTCACATTTTCGCCCCGTGGACTCACTTGGCTGGGCAAACCGGAATATAAAACATAACCGTCATGTCTGGCAGGATGCTCCTGAGCCCTCTTGACACCCGAGAGCTGACATCGCGTATAGTCCAAGAGGCACATCGCTGCCAAGAGTTGGAAAAAACTGTCAGCTTTTAATCTACAGCTTTCCAGGTACCTGCCCATTTCCTGAACGGCCTCCCGAAGATTGTGCTGATGAGACGAGAAAAGCATAAAAATGGCTTACATCCCACACATTATAAACACTTTCCTATATCTTTAACTTATGTAAATCACATATACCGCCCATATTTACCAGTCGCACGGAGACCAGTATCACGGAATATCTGTCTACAGTGCAGGGTGGAGCCTTTGGTCCGAAATGTCTGAACGCTCCAGACTTCAAGGTAAATTTAGACTTCTAAGAGGGGTTTTAGCCCTTGGGGGCGTTATGGACGAGGGGTTCACACGTGGGAGCACGGGTTCGTATCCCGGCTACGCCATGGCCGCGACTCCTAGCATAGCCACTGCCATCGACGGTGTTTCATAAGTGTGTCACAACGACGTGCATTACATTGCCTTTTTTGAGCACAGAATGGATGTGCAACCTCGCATGCGACCGATGCAATATTGCAATCACGCCTGAATGTTGGCTCGCAGGTACGTCTGACTCAACGCACAACCACTTGTCAATAACAAGCCTAATTTAACGGCCAAAAATGTCGGTGTCGGTGAAGCATCACGATTCTCCATAGCCAGACTGTTCTTCCTTCCCGGCCAAAGTCTCTCACAATAACGCGTCTGAGATTGCAACTCTGGCGGCCATCTGACGCTTCGTCTCTTTTGCCCGCAGCCCTGCGTCAAAAGATTCTCTCCCAGTACGACGTTAAAGTCAGTAGGCGGTGCTTGACCGGCGGCTGGCACCCGGCAGGCCGCTGTAACCCGGTGGAACCCCGGATGATCGCAGGCAGACGGCACAACCGCCCTCGCATGCCCCCCACGACCGCTCCCCCTCGAAATGACACCACGCGGCTGTCCTCGATCGCGCTGCGGCGGACACGAATGACTTTAGGCAGGTATGCTGCCAGGCCACTAACCGCCACCGCGGACTAAGCTCAGCTCCGTGGCCTAACGATAACTGCAAATATTCCGGCACGGTTCGCGCGACTAAATCGCCCCTCATAATGCTGGACTACTCTGCTGCAGGGAGGCATTCAGTCACATGTAACACCAGTGACATCTAGGTTACTGAGCACGTTGAATGGAAAATAAAATATGGCAGCTCGTAATGGCATGTGCCATATTTTCCCCACCAGCAGCATTCCTATCCTTGTCATAAATACCACTTTAAAAGCATTGCACGGGACGTCTTGGACGCGTTTCCTTTGAAATCCATTTTCTCCGTATTCTCATTGGGGTTTCTTGTTAAGTCCTAGCTCTTTCCCGGGCTGTGTTTGCCTCTAAATGACGTCACAAAAAAGTGTACAACACATACTAACTGCGAAATCGGAACATATTGCGACCCATACATAGTGAGGCTGCGAGGCGGTAGCGTACGACTGATAGCAGGCCACATATTTATCTATTAATTCCGATACATACTAAAGTAAGTTAGCTCGTTTGGCAATGGAATCTGCTTCTGTCCAGAGAGAATCGAGGAGCCAGCTTTGGCCAATGCACAGAGCTAAAACAATAAGTGACGTTATGTTTCTCGTTTATTTCACTGGTCCTGAGCAAACAAACACAAACTAAGTTTATGCATACAAATATGTTGGCCTACCTTAGTATTTGCTTCCCGTCGGCAAACCTGTGATTTCTGGTTAGGCATAAAAACGAAATCAACGGTTACCTGCCACGCTATGATAGTAAGGTATGACGAAACATGGATACATCATGCCATTCATGACAAAATAGCAAACAACCGCGCCTGACTAAAATGGCTCATGGTGGCAAAGGAGAAGTGCCCACAGCTTCTGTTACATGCTTACGTGGGGCGAACGCTGATTAGCCCGGTGTACCCCCCCCCCCCCCCCCAACACGCGCTTTAACAAGGGCTTAAGAGTGGTTTGACTGATTTGACTAGAAAGATTTCTGATTTGAAAATTATTATTTACAGAACATCTGTACGCGCTTTTTTGTTACTTCCATTACATTTGTCGGAAAAGAATAGTTTGTTTCACCTCAGATCGTGTTTGCTTTCTTGGCAATGTGGCTTTAGGTACTCAAACATGTCTGTATAAGAAAGCTACACTAGTTTATGATTTCATGGCTGGGAGCGGCTCACACTTCACTTGCTTGTGATACCTTAAAAGATATCCACGCTGACTGCGTCATGGATGTAACACAATGGCAGCAATTTATCGCGTGATTTTCAATAATCCGCTGACGCAGGTTTTACGGTGGATCTTACATGGTCAGCTGTGCAATTTGCTATTGTTTTTGACAATTTCCCAGCCCGGGGCGAGCTGCTGCTGCGGGCACGATCCAGTGCGTATCCCATGTTAGGTGATCACTGACAATAATGCACTAAACTGGCGACATGTTATAAAGCCAAGTCTGAAGTGTTGTCGATCATTTATATACGAAAGATTATGACTATCTTACTTTATTCGCTGCCGTGACGTGCCAGTGACGTGCTATTCGCTGCCGTGCCGTACCACTGCTCACTATCGTTCTAAGGCGGCAGCTGTCATACCTTTCTTGAAAATCCCACTCTTACACGGCTAACGTCTGTTGTGAAATACGCTTTATGTGGAAAATGGTAGCCATAATTTGTACATCTGTGTTAGATACACCTCAGTCGTGCATTTTTTTGAAAACAAGTGCGGGGGAGGGTGGCGAACAGAGGAAATGGCAAAACATGCCAGCACCACATGCCAACAAACTAGCCT